GCCAACACCAAGTTTATATGTAAGTAATATTTTATTATTTGTGCCTTATTAGAATTCATATAGTTTTTTTTTTGAAAGGTTACATTAATTTTTGCAGTAAAATATTTTCAATCTTTCAAAACTTTTAATTATTCAAATTTTTTATTTTATGCTTTATTGAAAGTGAAAAAAAAATACAAATGGATTGGTTGTTGATCATTTATTAGGAATATTAAAAGTAAAAATTAAGTATGATAGTGATTGACAAAAAGCTAAATCAAATTGATCAAAAATAATTATTAAAATCGTGCTATTTTTTTCCTTTTTAGATGCTTCACCTAACAATTACCGCATAAAAAAAATGCGTATTGAAATTATATTGTAATATATTATCACAATAAAAGGAATTTGTGTGGGGATTAATTAAGTTTTTAATTAAAATAAAATGTAGAACAGAATTAATTTATTTAAAGTTAAAATAAAAATAAAATCCCTGAAAAGGTATATTAATTTTAAATGAATGAAAAGTGATTGGGTTAAATTAAATTATTATTAAAATTTTAGGAACCATTCAGTTTTGCGGAAGGTGCTTATCAGACATTATATTTACTTCGTGCTAATATGGCCGTATGTTTGCTAAAAAATGGTAAATCATTTTGGATGATGCAACAGGACACATTTTGGCTTAAAAATATTTTTGATTTACGCTTTGAAGAGAACTACGAATATGATGCAATCTTTGATCAGATCGGCTTTGATAATGCTTCACAGCGAGCAGAATGGATTAATGGTTTGTCTGTTTATGCTTTATATATTACAAAATTTTGCTTTAATTTCAACTTCATTATTTTAAATGTTATTTTTATTTGCTAGCATTAAACTTCATTGAACTTTGTCCCAAATTAAATCCAATAACATTTCATAATTCGTTTCTTTTTCTTTTCTTCCTATTTTTTTTCAAGAAATGAAAAAATATTATTGCATTTGCATGAAAAAGGATACGGGAATTGCCTACTTTTTCACTTCTTATCTTTTCAATCATCTAAAATGGAATAGAAAAGGGATCAATCAAATTTTGCAGATAAAAAGACCATTGGTGATTTAATGAGTAGAATTTAAAAAAGAAAAAAAAACAAGACAAGGAAAAACAGATAAAAAAAAAATGGTGGATATGCATGACATATATCGGATTGATATATTATTAGCAAAAACTTTTTGATTATTTTCTTTAAATTACTTATTTCTTAAATAAATATGTAAATAATCTTCTATTTCTTATTTCAACTAAAACGGAAAGCAAATTAATGATATTTTAATTGATAAGAAGACGAACTAACATAATAATGCTAAACTTCATCTAATAGGGTATGATTGGTATCTAATATATCAGGAAAAAATAAAAAATGATTCTATATTTGAAAGAGACGAAAATGAGAGAGAAACGAAACTATTGAAATAATCAATTAAATTAGAATGAAATAAAATGTTAGATTAACATATCGAACAAATTGATATAAAATTCATGAAATCCTTTTTTTTTAGAAAAATCACTTTATTTTTCCCTAATTACGATTCATTGGTTAATATTCCTTCTTTTTTTGAAAAAAGAAATCATGTTTTTTTTTTTTTCACTGGAATATCACAGAAAACATTATAAAACAATTTTCTAGTTTTTTTTTTTCACTGAAAAATCACAATTTTTTTTTCATTTTTCATTTCGACTCACTGAAAAATCACTTTATAAATGTTCTCATTAAATCGATTTACTCTCTTCCCCTTTTTCTCAACCCATCCATTACTGTTAATATTTCTTTCCCAATTTCGTTTTTTTTTTTATCTTTCAAAACACAATTGGACTAAACTTTGGAAAAAAATTTATTAATTTTGTGAAAAGTTATTTAATTTTGAGTGCAAAAAAAGGACCAGAAAAGAAATTATCAAAATATTAAAATATCAGTTAAAATATCAGAGGATAATTTTCATCGTAGAATGTTAAGCGAATAGAATTTTTGGAAAATTCAAATTAAAGTTTTTGAAAATGTAACTGGCAGTTTTAAATCGAACCATAGTTAAGAAGGAAATTTTTATTGATTTTACAAAAATCTACTATTTTTTCTTCATTGCAGTAATCCAATTTTCCTGTTCTTAAAACTTGTTTGATTTTCAAAGAGTGATGTCTATGATTTTAGCAAAAAAAAGAAGCAAAACTTTTTTTTTTGCTATGAATTGCAAATTATCCTGAGAAAAAAATTTTTTTCTTCTTTCAAATTGCTATGATCAAAAAATTAACAATTGAAATTTAAATTTCTATTTGTGACAAAAATAAATATTTTTTAGACAAAAAAGGACAGAAATATCTAGGAAAAATCATTAAATGATAATAATTCTCATCATTTGAGCTCGTTGTCATTTAATATTATTTAATGCACATCCTTATCACTTAATTTTGTGAAAAATTGTTATCATTTAATAATTAGTAATCAATGAATAATCTTTTATTTTTTTCATTCATTCATACATTATCAATTTATTCTCATTGCTTAATCTTCATTATCACTATCACAAATAGATTGTTTTGCTAGTTGGTAAAAATTTTTGATTGTTTTTATGATTTGATATATTATCTTATGATAAGTCAGATTTGTTTCATACTTCAATTCTATCTTAATTATTTTCATTTATAGGTGCAAATTTTTTCGTACATGCAAATAACAGTACAATAAAATTCTTCGAAGCTGTAGCTCGTAAATTAGCCCATTGGTATACACCGGATATGGGTATTATGATACATCAATGTCATACATGGAGCGAGCCAAAATGTAACTATATCCCGCATAAGTAAGTATAATGTAAATGTATCAGTAATAAAGTAAGTAATTATAAATATTATCAATACTTTATTGCCGTTCATATACTGTTACATTATTATTATTAGACTAATAAAAATCCTAATCGAATCAGATTAGATCAAACGGAAGAATATTTTTCTTTTTTTTTTATGAATATCGATAATCATAAAGTAGCAATATATTGAATTTTATTTAAATATTAGTAAAACTTCAATTTTTCTTCTGTCAGTTAGGAAATTCAGTTTGAAAAAAAAAGTTAAAATGCTACAAGGTAAAAGATTAAATAGTTAATTTCAGAATTGCAAATTCTTGGGAATGGATGTATACGAATCAGAAAAATCCACCATACATTCTTCAGTTAGATTGTGAAACAGATGGCAGTTCTAAATTAATGCAATTAGCCAAATTTGGATTTTACTTTATGAACAGCGATAACCATAGGGTATAACGATTTGATATTTGTAACAATTGCAAATATAATTTTCATTTTCATTTCAAATTTTTCTAATAATTAAATTGAAAACTTATTTAATTATTAAATTTCTTATGAATTTATGTCGCTTTTTTTCTTTAAGAAATTAGCGTTTAATTTTTTATTAAAATTTAACGTGGACAAACAAAGAGAGAGAGGGAGGTTTAGAGATAGAGATCTAATTTAATCAAATTATCTCTTATCGATTTTTTTTCGACGCTCGTAAAGATATATCAATGAATGATCACATTAAAATTAATATGATATATGATAACTAAATCATTCTTATCTTTAGATATCATTAATATGCAAATTATTTCAATTTTTTTAAAGGTATGTAATCAAACAGCAGTAGAATATGCAAGAAAACGAATGGAAGATGGTAAAATTGAAGTATCGAGGAATCGACTTAGTTGGGGTCGTTTTCAATTTAAAGTATATTGGTGGATTGTTGATCATATGCTTAGTACGCCAATTATTGGGGCATTAATTAAGCCTTATCTTCCGCTTATTGGTTTTATTATTATGATTACCATTTAACAAAAAAACAAAGAGAAAAAGAAAAAAACATTAAGGAAAGAAAAGGAAAATTGAAGATTAGAGATGATTTTTAATTGAAACTCAGTTTCGAAATATTTCAGCTATTTTATCATTATTTGTGTATACTTGATAAACTGCACTTGATAAAATCGCTATCACTATGCTATGATACATTTGATAAACAGGTGATAAATATAGGATATGTATAATTTTCTCATAAATTGTTTTGTTATGTTAACTGTTAAATTGCTATCACTATGATATGATCATATTCATTAATGTGATAGCAATCATGAAATTATTTTTTTTAATTTATCCTAAAAATAAATTTTCTTTGTCATTGCAAATTTTAATGCATTTAATCGGATTTAATTTACATTTAAATTTCAAGTATGTCATTTAAATTTCAAGTATGTGTACATTATTGATAAATTAGAAGAATAAACAAATTGCTAAAATTAATAGTAATTTGAGCAGCGATTAAAGAAGAAAAAAAACATTTGAAGCTAACTTTTAGCTTATTAGACATCTCTGATAAGCTACATTTTAATTTGAGACTATAATAAAATTATTATCCATTGATTTTTATATTCTTAATGGACAATTTAGCGAATATTTCAATGGATTAGTAGTTTAAAGAAAAATAATCATAAATTGTTAGTGCGTTTTTGTCAGCAACCAAATTCAATTTTTCTGATAACTTAAACAAATTTTTTTTTTGCTTTGGGTATTTTTTAAAAGTGTAACAATCTGTCTAAATTAATGATTTGATCATTTGTCTACTTTTTAAAATCATTTAATTCCTATAATTTTGAGATTTTATGAAACCACTATATCATCCAAATCCATCGGTATATCACGTCTTGCAAATGCAGTGATAACAACATTTGTTAACAGTGTGATCGTTGCACAACCGTTCATCGGATTGTTTTAGCTTCAAATTTGTGGCTAATAGTTAAAGTATGTATTATTTATGTTTTCCAACAATTTTTAGTATTATATATCTTCTTTCTAATACATATATATAAACTATTATATAAATGACAGAAGTAATCAAAAATCATTTTCCTAAGACATTTTGAAA